TACCTCATTAATTACATAAATTAGAGATGCTAGCTCTAGTTAATCTCGTAGTAAATAATCATTAAATATAAGTAGTACTTGTGATGCATTTTATAAACTTGGTAATTATTTAAGCATACTTGGTTAGAAGTGTTTGGTTGAATTGCTTCTGAATCCTTCAGCATCTCCAGTTTTGCTTCTGCAATAACTTTTCGAACACCTGTACATGCATGAGATATATATATATATATATTGATATTTAGGACTGAAAAACAGCATAAATGACGAATGCAAGCTGTAAATTCTATAATTACTTCTTCCTTATGTTTGAAATTCCATTAACTATTTGCTTCGAGAAATTTTATACAACATATTAAGATTTCTTTTGAGATGACTTTCTTACTGCTTCTAAAAGTAATTTTTTAGTACAAAATTTATAATTTTTGTACTAAAAAAATATTTTAAGAAGCAGTAAGAAAGTCATCTCACACGAAGTCTAAAATGAATACGAATCAAAACATATACATTTAGGTCTTGCTGATTTGGAGAAGTGTTTGACAGATGTAGGATGCCTCAAGTTGAGGAAGCTTGATGTACTCCATTGAAGACCATTGAAGAAATAAGATGGAATGGTGGAGTTTGAAAGAAGCATGCAATTAGTCAAGCTCCCCATTTCTTTGTGTGTGTTTGTTTTGTCTCTCTCGATTTCTCCTTAATTATTTATAGCAGCTGAACACTCAACTAATGAAGTAATGATCATTTTCACATTAATTTATGAAAAGGATTCCGCCATATAAATTACAATTTCAATATGTTGCTCAAATTATAAAAAATGAAAAACTTAAAGCACGAGGTCGGTTTAAATTAATGGAGAAAATGCTTTCTTCACAGCTGTCCCTAATGATGGCCACGTGGCCCTCGAGATCCACGTCACCATCACTCCCGTAGCTGATTAAAAAGTCTTTGCATAAAAACACAATATTTATTTTAAAAATTATTATTTATGTATTTCTCTTCTTTTCCAACCCACCACCTACCACATAAATCATTTATAATCATTACACTCCACCACACAAATACAAAATAATAGAATAGTGTCAAAAAATTTGCTCTCTTATCAACAATCATTAAATTGTCAAGTTTATTTTGAAGTGAGTAGTTGAAAGTGATACAAAGTCTGTTACGGCATTAAAAATTGTCTTGATTCAGCTGGAATCTCGAGATATATCTTAATTAGTAACTTCTAAAATTAAATTAGGGACCATTTAAATTTTAATTTCAACAAATTTATAGTTAAACTAAATATCTCCAAGAGATGAACCCAATGACACCAAAATTTGTCTAATATGAACTCAACGACCGCTGTCTGACCTTTGCTCGGCTACCGTTAACACATCATTCCAACCATTGTTGCCCTCGACTACTCTCCCTTCGATCTCCGTCGCCTGCCAATTACGGTCCATCTGGCCACCTTCGCCCGCCGACTACGATCCCTCATGCCACCATCGCCCGCCAATAACAGTCCCTTTGTAAGAATCTTCCTGATAATCTTCTCAGGCAATCAACATAGCAGCATATCACTCCACTACACAAATACAAAATAATAGAATATAGTCAAAGGCTTTTCTCTTATGAACGATCATTAATGCCTAATTTGGAGAGCATTTTTATAAAATAATTTGATTCCATGTGAATCAAGCACACTAGGAATTAAAAAACCCGTAAATCTAACTTGAATCATAAAATGACTTTCAAATTCTTATAAAAATAAAAGTGATTTTAACGTCATCCTGATGATGATCGTGTTGAATATAAACATGAACTGGAAAGATCAAATGACACCGGCCAGGTAGGGGGCTCGACGAATCCACGTCGACAATCCGGTGACGGTCGCCGGACACAGCTCCAAGAACTTCTTTGAGGAAAGATCCACCACCTAAGAATCACTCTTAGGATACATGAAACACATGAGACTAAACTCACATCATATTCATATCTCCAAATCTAATTGTATTACAAGACATTAGCCTATATTTATAGACTTCAGGTAGTCACATAATAGGCTACACAAGAAATAGAGCTACACCAATCACTAACAAGAAAATACAATTTTATTATATGGACGCTCCTGCGTCATTCTACCGGGGTAGGAGGGAACTTTGAGCTTGTAGAAAGAGATCCGGTTGGCCACCATAAGGAGGTGGGTTTTAAGTGCATTTACGAAGATGTATTTGACAGACCACCTCGTCAGTCTTCTACCACACCTTCGATCGAGCTCGGCTTTGAAGAATTTGAAGACTCGTTTCCGAAATCGTCATCTTTGCCTCTCTACGACGAGCCTGTGTATGATGTGTATAATGACGACATGTTCGGTGGAGTTCTTGATCTTGATCAGCGGTGTATGATGAGGACATGATCGGTGAAGTTCTTGATTTTGATAAGCCAATATATGATGATGATCAGAGCAAGCCGGATGTCCAGCATGAACGATTCACTCCTAGTGTTCACAATAAGGCAATAAACTTGATCATCGTCATTGATAAAAAAAATTGCAATTCAAGATCTCTCAAATGGGCTGGATATTGAAGCTTACTTCTCTAGGATGCTGAAAGAAACACAAATGATTTCAAATAATCCCACAATCACAAACAATCCATCCACTTGGGCTAAACTTGAGATATCGAAGGTTGGTAAACAAATGGACATTGGGTGGACCTATCCTGACCGGTTTAGTCAACCAAATCTGCCTCCTTGTGGCCAACTGAAAATCTTCCTATGAGCCTGAAGTTCCTCCTACCCCGGTAGTATGACGCCGGAGCTGAGATGTTTGATTGTATTAACTTCAGGCTAGTTTCATTTTATTTGCTAGCTTATATAGCTACATAGATTTAATGCTTTCTTTTGTTGGTGTAGCCTAGTATGTTACATCTTTGGGCTATAAATTCATAGCCAACACTTGTAATAGATGGAGATTTGAGATGAATAATATTTGAGTAGCTTTTACTCTGCTTTTGGGTTTCTGTATCCTGAAGGATTTCAGGTGGTGATCCCTCTCCCAAGAAGGAGTTCTTGGTCGCGCACCGGATTGTCGACGTGGATTCGTCGAGCCTCCTCCGGTCCGGTGTCATTTGGTATCAGAGCCAATCCCCCAAGTGTCTGGATTGGCATCATCAGGTTCTTCCCGTTTCCGAGCAGCTCAGCCTCGGAAGAGAAAACCAGTAGTCGCCCAACTACCAAGGGACATTTCTTGAAGTGACCTGTGGATTCGGGTTGCCCGAGTGGATCGTCCGTGAGCAGTGATCCTTGGCGAAGTGCGTCTGGGATCCAAAAGGGGACCGTCAAAGACTCAAGATTTTAAGCCCTGTTCGACAGTGAATGTCAGGCGTCATTCTGAAGATTAGGATCTGTTTTCGTGTGTTCACCCCTTTCTAGAACCTTCAAACGTGGCTGTCTTGCTGTTATCAGCCACCTTCACGACTTGTAGGACCCAACTGGAGTTGTTCATATGCTGTCAACCTTCTTCTAGGTCATCATACTGTTGTAAGCCACAAGAACATCCGTTAAATCTGTTTTCGTGTGTTCACCCCTTTCTAGAACCTTCAAACGTGGCTGTCTTGCTGTTATCAGCCACCTTCACAACTTGTAGGACCCAACTGGAGTTATTCATATGCTGTCAACCTTCTTTTAGGTCATCATACTATTTCTTTCCTAAAGGACAACCCATTTCCCTCTCCACAACATCTCCAAGAATAGTCTGACAAGATGCCTCTTGGATGGACGTTACAACGACCACTTCAAGAAGCCAAAATTGGAGACCTTCAACAAGAAATTGCCCTACTCAAACGACGATTGTCGAGGCTTGAACGAAGGAAGGACGTGAGCCCCTTACCTGGCCGGTGTCATCAAATCTTAAAACTAAGAACAAATATGAATTCTTAAAATAAAATATATCACCTAAAAACTTAAAACAAAAACTTATCCATTTATCGCAATCATTTATTGAGAATGATAAATTTAAAATCTAAAACTTAAAATCCTCTTTACTTCTTAATTTTTCCCTTTTGCATGTTCATGTTATCCTTATTATAATTCAAACGAAGAATGACAGTATAGCTAAATGAACGCAATTGCAACGTGACTGCTTCCTAACATTTCGTTTAAACCATCTATCCAAAATCACTATCAACATATGTCTTCTCTGTCAATGGCATCCTTTCATAGTGAATACAAGTATCTCATCACATCAATGGAGTGGTAGAATAGAAGAAAAATGGAATTTAGGTGGTATATTAATAAACATAGAAGTTTATGAGTTAAATATGTATTTTCAATTATTTCAGTCAAATCATCGTAATGGACAATTTTTTTTTAGCCGTAAAAATTTAAAAAATTGAGGGATAGGAAGGAGTTAGAACGTGAGCCGTCTAGGAGGAAATAATTTCGCTAAACCAGCGAGCTGCATGTGCAAACTCAAAAATTAAAAAAATTCAGTGTCATTCAACATGTTCTCCGACATTTTTTATGTTGTATTATAAAAATTAATTTTCCTTTCCCTTATTATAAATTATTCAATGCATTTAATTCACTCTCTCCCTCAACTCGCAATAATTTAATATATTTAATTCACTCTATCCTCCCTCTTAGTCTCTTAGTAAAAAGATTTAATAATAAAAACACATAATTCAGAATAAATTTTTTTTCTTCTTATACATTTAGATTAATTCAAATAAACTCAAAATTTTAAGTCTAAGCCTTCTTAATTGGTAGTCAAAATTTTCAACTTAAAGACTTAAATGAGCTTAATAAGAATGAAATTAAGCTTTAGTATTTTTTTAACAACTTTTTAAAAAAAATTAGCGTTAGTTGAAGAAAAAAATGCCCCTCAAAAGGCTCAACTACCCAAAAAAAATATTTGAATATAAATATCATAATGGAGATTTTGACATTTTTTCCTGTCTTCTTATCATAATATTTGACAGACTTAAAAATTGGCCTCACTTCCGCTTGGTTCTTTCTTTGAGATGTCTTCCTACTTGTACATGAAGAAGCTCTCCTTACGGCTTGCGGCGTCGACTCCCTATATTTGTCCGCGTATCAAAGCAGCTCCAGCCTCCAAAGGTCCCATTTTTATCTGCGGGATTTCTTGCAGGAACTGCTTCTTGGGGAAGCTGAGGCTTTCCAATCACCGGAAGAAGAAGAAGAAGGTGGAGTTAGCGATATTTGATTCTTTTCACAGCGGCGGAGTCGTCGGAGAAGATGAAGACGACTTGACATTTGCTAATCGGAGGATGGAGAGATTGGAAGCCGCTCTGAATGGAATGGTTGCTTTCTTTTTCTCCTCTTTTTTTTTTTTAATATTCCATTCAAAATAACATTTTGTTATATTTAAATATAAGTGGTTGCCAGAAATAAATTCTAAGTTACACGTAGGAGATTTCCTGAAATTTTTTTATTCAAAATAAACTATAAAGTTCATTATTTTATCATATCTTTTTATAGCAACAAACAATCAACTTTGAATTTGCTCACATGAAAATGTCATTTTGGTAGCTAACGTGGCCTCATTTTAATCATAAATTTATTTGTTTATAACCGGATTGGTCTCATGTCTGGTTCCGCATTCGGTACCTAGCGCGGTATATTTTTGAGACGACGTGGCGTATTTTTATTGGTCTCCGGACGAATCCGAACCCACGTAATAATTTTTCCTCGGTGTGTGTGTATTTATAGAGCAAATGGCTTGTGGCTGGCCTCTTTGCTGTTGCCATTATTTGGAAGCATGACGCAGTGACAATCTGGGCTGCCATGGGAACTATTGTGAATTCATTGCTCTCAGCTGCATTGAAGAAGATGTTGAACCAGGAGAGACCATCAGCTTTGAGATCAGATCCTGGGATGCCCTCATCACATGCTCAATCCATCTTCTATGGTGTTGTCTTTGCCATTCATTCAGGTTATTTCTGATGCATTTGGGAATAATACGCACGAAGATTTGATTGATGATAACCTCTAAATGTTAATTTGGTGCAGTAATGGAATGGATGGGAGTGAATGCGAGTTCGGTTCTTGTTGGAGCTTCCATCTTCATCTGTGGCGCCTATCTGGTAAGAAACTTATCATATCAACTCATCTTGTCGAAAAATTATTCTATGTGCGAATGTCAAACATCCGAAGACCAATCAAAATGCGCCACATCACACATTTACTTAGTACTACGGCTCGTTACTGCTCAATACCATTGATGTGATTGCACCAGATTCACCTCCGGATATAGAGCTGAGTCCTGCATCTGTACAGAATAATATTTTCTCCTTCTTTTGGGTTGGTTTATTATTACTATATTTCTTGAATATCTTCTTTGTCTTACACGTACCTCAAATTGCAGTCATGGCTAAGAGTTTCACAGCAACTTCATACCTTAGACCAAGTATTTGTTGGTGCTACTCTGGGATCTGCATGCAGCATAAGTTGGCTCTGGATTTGGCATTTATTTGTACTACAAGCATTCAATTCATCGATTACCGTTCGAGCAATTTTGTTACTTGGTGCTGCAACTTACTATGTTACCTTACTGCTCTATGCTATCCGCCATTGGCTTCTCATCAATTAGAAATTAAGAAGCTTGATCCACAGATTTTAACACTACTTTATTTATTCTGTTTTATAAGGTTTTTAGTCGAAATGGTGAGGAAAAATCTGTAATTCAGACTGGATTGATGAGAGAAAAAAACCCAGTAAAAATCATTTGAAAAATCATCATTAATCACTTTCTACGGAAGTTAGATGTGTTGTTGGCAATCATAAACCAAGATATGAGAAAAATCATAATATCACCACTCCATATATCAAAGCCACATAAATTATCAACTTTCATTGAAGAAAAATGGTGAAATTATTCTGTGTGGTCACCGAACAGTTCAAAGGAGAATCAGAATGCATCACATCATCCGGTACTGAGCGATACATGGCAGCGGTACACAGTGAAAAAATGATGTGGCCAGTTCTCATTCGTCTCTAGATGCCGTCCGGCAACCGCACAAAATAATTTCTATGTGACACCGGCACTCTTCCGCGTAAAACGAGCGGGCCACATTTTTTACAGCTGAAGCAGCCCCAAAATCTAGTAAAGCATGAAAATTATACATAACAATACTAATGGTCAATTTGAGCAAAGCTGTAAGGCTCTTTTGCGTATACATGTCGTGTAATTAGCTGAGAAAGGAGGTTGGTTATTGAAAAGATGCCATGCCTTTAGTCATCGTTGGAAACAGGTGGATCTGAAGAAGGAAGATAGGACCAGGCAATGGCGGCAGAGCTAAGGGTCACAGCAAGGCCGATAGAAGCCCAGAACCATTTCTGCCTCCTGTTCCTTCGGTGACGGCGTTGTCGTGCCCTCTCTGCAATCAGAAATGATTGTTAACAGCATAAATAGTACAAAGTGGTTTGTTATCTATAATCCTTTTTCCATTTTTTGGTTGTTTTTCCACAGAAATGTATTATATTTCATCATTTTGTTTGATGTAATTACAAATCAACATTCGCTTTTAATTTCTTAGCTGTAGATTAGTTGATGATATGATTTAACATTCTTTAACCTTTGAGTCAATTTTTGTACTAGAAAATTATTTTAGAAAGCAGCAAAAAAGTCATTCCAAACGAAGCCTAAGCTAATTTTCACATGTGTGGGTTATTCTAATTTTGGAGGACATAAAAAATTTTATTTGTGAGAATTTAGTTACGATTGCTTACGATTCTAAAGTTTTGTTGATTTTTTCAAATTATTTCTGTCATTTTGTTATCATTTGTTGGCTTAAAATTCTAGTATTCATTGTTTACATTTAAAGAAGGCAAATTGTTAAAGTAATTAGTAGCTTGTCATCAATGAATCATCAAATTAACAATTCGATTAGGAAGGCTTTACAATGCAAATAAAAAAAACAATGGATGATCTAAGCATATGGCAGTACATAAATGAAAAAAATTAGGTTTTTTTTGGAACAACTTTCTTAATATTTTCTTAAAGAACTAAAATTTTTTTTCTAAAGAACTACTTTAGAAAGCATCAAGAAAGCCGCCCCAAACGAAGCCTTAATTATTTTTAAGTTGAATTAAGATTAGAATGTTGTTATTATATCATTTCAAAGGAAAATGGATAAGTTCAGATTTCTCACCAACAGCTTCCTGATTTCTTTGAGACATCTCCCTGTTTGTAGCTTCGTAATATCGAAGCCTATCCAGGAGCCTGGCAATCTCAAAGTTCTTCGCCTCAATTTGAGGTTCCATCTCAATCTCAGCCGCAGCCCTGGCACAGCCCCTTGCAACAGAAGCAGCAACTATCCTTGCCACAACAATTTGTTGGCTCAAGTCCTCAGCTGGATCGATAATGGCTTCCACCTCCATAGCTGTGTGGAGACTGGGAAGAACCAATCCAACGGACGATAGATGTCCATGAAGATTTTGCCATTTAAGCTGCAAGTACTCAACAGCATCCTCTGCTTGCTTCCTTTTCTCAATTTCCATGAGTAAATTCAGCCTCATCTCCCGAATTTCATCTTCAGCCTTTCTAAAAGATGATCTTGAGCTACCATCACTTGATATCTCTAGAGAATGATAATGGCGTTAGTGAAACAGGCTTATTACTTGTCAAAATCGGTAAAATTTTGATAAAGGAAACTTAAAGCCAATGGTTAAATTCCTTGAATGAATTAAGAAAGCAGGTTGCATAAAAAAATTAACATATAAGCTCAGTAAATACCAAAAAGAATGTGATGAGTCCTAATTTCACACAATCAAATAGCATTTAATGATCTTAATTATAAAAATGATTTTCAGTCTCTCACTTGATTACTTCAAATGTCATCAAAACTGATTATACAGACCAAAAATGAGTTATCTGATTGACTTACGAACTTTTAAAATCTCTGCCAAAATAAATTTAAATCTAAAATCACTTCATTCCAAAGAAAAGTGAAACACAGCCACAGCAATTTACAATAAGAGAAATCATAGCAAGAGTCTATTTTTGTCAATTATTATCCAGTATATTGCCCATTGATATCTAAAAAAAATTACGAGAGGCAATGATGCAGAAGAATGCCAAGGTTAGGATTTTCTAATCTAATTAATATCATGCGAAGCAAGTATACTTTCATGTACAATAAATTAAGCATTTTCCATATCACAAACTTCCAAATAATTCAACAATTTTCTTGCTTAAAATAAAAAAAATGTGATATTCCAGCCTTGAATTCACATTGTCGACTTGTTCATATAAAAACAAATCTCTTCTACAGCTTTTAACACTTTGGCATACAATGCAACGAATTCTTGTGGGCAATTCCTTCACCCTTATAAGGATCCCTTTAACTACCTTCTCGTAATAATTGTAGTTCAAATAAATATATGTTTTTGATTGCCTCTAAGCACACTATATGTCCATGTCGGATCCTTTTTATGACTCGTGGATTTCTCCTTACCTTTAACCATTTCTTGCAAAATCCTAAAATGTAAATTTTGATTCGAATAAATTTGAAAAATGTAAACATTCACAGAAATAAAAATCCTAACTAAATCATACAAAAAAAAATTATATTAATGCAAGAAAAAAAATTAGGTTTTAACGTTTGTCGCTGGCTAGAGAAAAAATTTTGATTGGGAAACTAGAGATCCATGTCAAAGAGGAGAACTTAGTCGCATGAATTTTCATCCAGTGGGCATATGAGCATCTGTGAGGGTAACTAACGGAGTGCTAGTATTAGCCTATTATGTTATAGTTAAATCTTATTTATATTTAAAAAAAATCCTAATACTAAGAGATGCACACCTCATATAAATGAGACAAAGCGCACCTTACCATATATGATATGTACGCCTCACTTGAATTTCAGGTGTACACCTCACTTGAATTTCATGATATATTTTGGTACAAATTATGTTGAGGGCACTTCATATTATGTAATTTTAAGCAATAATTTTGATATTTAACATGTTATTAATTGTATAATTTCATCAATGCCTAATATAAATAATTTATTTATCAATTAATTTTATAGTGCATGCATGCATCTATAAACAAAAAATAATGTGTTATGTTGCTCAAATATAAAAGAAATGTTCATTTTAATGTTAAATAAATTACTTAATACAAGATTCTCATCTTCCATCAGAAGTGTGTAGTGTTTCATGCATTGTTAAGCATTGCATTATTAGGAAAATCTAGATAAAAAAGAGCATTGCATATTTTCTATTAAAATAAAAGAAAAAGCTGATCAAAAATGCATTCAAATCATTTATATCTTGCATATAAAAAAATAATTAATGTTCAGTTAAAATTGTGATTTGGGATTTACACTCTTTTCTACTTGTTTTTTTCATTGATTTACATTACTTTTGTTTAATATTAACTGCTCTGTGATGCAAATTGATTGGCATTAACTGGGTTATTTATGATGATGACTAGAGTCTTAGGATTGCACATACTCACTTATAGGTCTATTTCACTTAAAATAAGATGAAAACACACTAGTCTATGTTTCCATTAGAAGCATGTTACCTTTCATTCTTGCTGATATAAACATTATATCATAATATTGTGTCAGCATAAATTCCAAGATTCATTCTAGTATATATAACTTATGCAGATACAAACAAACACAAGCGACTTCTCCATCTAGCTAGCTTTAGCGTGTGTCAGCCTCTCCATTTAAATTTAACTTCCCTCCCACTTACACATGCAACTAGGTAGGTTATTGGCATCTTGACCAGGAAAGATATACGTCCAACATTCTAAGCCTAATGACTATTGATGTGATCATATTGTCTCCAAATTCCCAAGCTTCTTCTATGGTCTAAAAGACTCCCAATCCTTAAAGTTCTAGAGCCTCCCTTAGGCTTCTCCTTTATTGTGGTTGTCAAGTAATTCTTGTCTGTTACCTTATGATCAAGTCCCCCTTATACCTCCAAGTTTCTGAGGTTGCCTTAGACATCACAACCCATGCTTGTTCACAAGCATACTCCCAATCAGAATATCATCTTTTCTAATTAAATAAACCATGAGCTACGATGACCCAAAATGATGGATAACAATAAGATCTTGACCGAGGGTAGTCCTCCTATCCCTTATGTTAGTCTACCATTTCCTTAGGTTTAATCAGTCGATAGATATCACCGTCTAACCCCTTCCATAGGTTATTTGGCCTATTTCCTTGGATAGATCTCTTCTTAAGAGAGTTCATCTTCTCTTACCATAGTTGTCCTCATTTTTAGGATTAAACATCTCCTTCCTTAGGATTAGATTCTCTTTTTTTAAGATAGAAATATTCTTCTTCAGAATGTACTTTTTCCTTGAGATAGTTTCCCCTTTCTTTAGATATTCATCCCCTAGGATCATCTATCATTATCCCACTCTCTTTTATGATCTTATGGGTTATAGATATTCCATTCTCTGAAAATCTTCCTAAGCTGTAGCAATGGGCTTTTTTGATGATTCAGACTTTGTTAAATGTTCCAGAATATAAGATCCATCATCTTTGAAGTCGTCTTTCTTTGCTTTCATTCTCTTGAGCATCTATACATCAAAATTGCATTTCTAAAAATAAAACCAAAGAGCTTCTTATAGGAAGAAGTATTATTGATACTCAGGACTTAGATCATTTTGATTACAACCATATGATTGTATCTCTCCTATACTGAAAATTCACTCATATCATTCACCACATTATAAATTGATCCACGCCACATCATGAGTCCTGCATGCCTTGGTATTTTTCCATCCTCACTAACATCAATGATTGTCTATATGAAAATACCTCACTGCTCAATGATTTTCACTCCTCGCTTCATTTTGAGTTTTCTTATTCTTTATTGGAAGAGGTCAATCATAATTAAATAAATGCAAGCAAAACACAAACAATATTTCTTAATTAAGAGTTTTTTTTGGGTATCACCCAAGATGTAAATAAACTTGAGAACAATATATTTGTTTGTGAAATCTTGACTCCCATAAACTCTAAATTCAAAAATATGGGAAAACATATGGGATTCAAATGTCTAATTTGCTTATCATTAGTATCTTGAGTTCATATAATCAATGAATTTAGGACCACATCTATATCCCATCCAAGTCAACAATTTCCCAACATAGTGTTAAATGAATGTCATCTCCTTCTTGAACTAAAAGAACTCAAGAGCAAATTCTTAATCAATAGTTTTTGTGTATCACACCCCAGATTGTGATTAACCATTGAGACTTGCATCCATGAGAAACTTTAATAACCTAGAAGGCTAGAAGTCAATAAATCATGTTTGCACCTTTTTACCGTTTAGAGAAAATCTTTTCGATATATTTAAAAACTACTTTCATTGATTCTAGCATTGAGAATTGCCTTATGTCCCTTAGGGATGTACCCCCTTTTAGCACAAGGTTCTTTCTACATTGTTATACTAAAACTCAATCATAATTTCACTATTAATGTGAGACTATTATCCATTTTTAAATGCATCTTAACATATACAAATGCAAATCTACAGTCAATTCCATTAAAAACACAATAAAATCACAGTAAGTTATTTACCATCATAGGCATCGTAGTAATCCGACATATCAGTTCCCATCTTCCGCATCCCCTCAACAGCAGAGCTATCCTCCCCCTCCAAATTACTAGCTGAACTCATTGAATCCAAGAAATCAAGGAAATCCTCAGCTTCCTCATTTACAGCAATCCCGTCTCCTAAATCATTCTCTTCAATAGAGACAATTGGCGACGTAGTCCCCAATTTCTCATCACAATCAATTCCTTTTGCTTCGTCCTTGGAATCTACCTCGTTTTCAGCTTCCAATGGCGGTGGCGGCTTCTGGAGGCGACGCCCTCGTCGCTTGTGGTTGACAATGTAGGGCGATGGTGGAAAAGAGGAAGGGGAGTCCGGAAGAGGAAGAGGGGTCAGCGTCGGCGTAGCATAGAGCGCCGGCGAGGCGAACAGCGGTCGAGAGTTCGCCATGTTCGGCTCCAGCTTCACCTGCGGGTGCTTGGGAATGCTAGGATTTCGAGAGGCTGGTTCCAGGAGCCGATCCAGGCTGCTCGCCGTCAACGTGGGCATCATCGCTGCTTAGCTCCTTGGAACGCAGAGATCCCGTTCACCTCCACAGCTCGCCTTTCGTCTTCAATCAAAAACAGAAACCCAAATAATCGTTCGCATAACGAGGAAAAATCAAACGCATCCCCAGAAAAACCAATTTTTACGAATTCCAACCTCGATTAGGACTACTAACGCCGAAAATAGGAAGGTTTTACGATTGCAAACGAGAGACGTAAAGAGCTTTGGTCCGATTGCAATCGGAACAAAATTGGATTACGCGGGAGCAAGATTGGATTTTGGGGAACCCTAGCAAGTTCTTAGCCGCTTAATATGTATATTTTTTGAGATAATACGCAGAATTTCTATGGCCCCTGAGAACGCTGGAACCTTCACATTGTCGCTACACGTGTTCGGTGAATGGAATGACGCGTGTCCTATCGATCAGTTTTTTTTTTTTTTGGGAAAAATAAGTGCATTGCCCGTATATTAACTCAAAAAGGTGTTACAAAGTAAAACAAAAGCATTTAAATGAAATTACAAGAAGAAGCTAAAACAAGGAAATTAAACTAATCCCCAGAAGAAGGGATCAAAAACTTCCAGACTCAGGCAAAACGAAACCAGTACAATCAGGCAATTCAGCCTACAAAATCGAAGCATCAAGGACCGAACCCTCCCCTGGTTGCTTGAGGAGCTTACCCCAAACAGCAATCCAAACGAGGTCCGTAGTAGTAAGGGCCATCCAAAGGGCTAAAAACACCCCTGGTTGCCCAGAATTGATGTTCCCACAACAAACAGATTGATCAAAGAAAAGGTTAGCACACTCAAGCCATCCAAAGGGAGAGGGCAAAATAGTACTGCTTCCAGTCATCATTGTCCGGATGAACTAAACCGATAAAACCAAAATAATCAAATTTGCATATTTCTGCAGCTATAACCGGAACAGGAAGGAAAAGCTTGCTGCAGCTCACTGTAATGTTTCCAGAATTTAGTTTTGGTGCAGATAGCATTCACAATTTTGTGGATGAGAGATTGTGTGCTCAAATATTTCTCCCCAAATCTTCTATCATTCCTTTCCCTCCACACATGGTAGATAGTACAGAACAAAACCAGAAAACAGAAATTTTTGTGTACTGAGTTGATCCCTTGATAATCCATAAAAAACTCAAACCCTTGTAAGAGCAGAGGGCGTAAATGAAAAACAAAAGTGATGGCAAAAGGAAGCAGATAATATGAAAAGTAAAATCACATTGGAAGAAAATGTGATTAATATTATCATACCCAGCACAACAAAGAGAGCATACACTGTCCACCACAATATTTCTTCTAGCTAAGACTTCAGCAGTTTTCAAACCATCCTTAAAGGCCAACCAAGCGTAGATCGAAAACCTCAATGCCGATCGTTTATGCCAAATAAAAGGCTTCCAATTCACATCCGAATAATCTTTATAATAACAAGCATAGAAGGTTTTAAAGCAAGGCTTATCAGTACCATGCCAGGATATAGAAGAAGAAGAGTTCTCCAAAATGTTCACCCCAAGGATATGTTGAATGTGAGGAGTGTTTAAGTAATTCGTTAAATTTTAATTTTATTTAAAATGTAATCCTTTACCAAAGAATTGAAAGGAAAGATGGTCAAAATTATGATAAAAAAGGGAGTTCTGATCACACCAAGGGTCCCACATCATAGAAAGGCTACAATTGTGTCCCGTCACATTTAGAGAAACATAGTCTTTAATAGCACCAGCAATATTGTGAACCAATTTCCAGAATTTAGAAGCATTAGGCACGGGAGCTTTCCAAGGAGATAAATAGTGATTTTTCATTCATTGAGCTGCCAGAGAATCATTAGAGTAGAATCTCCAAATAAAAGAAGTAGTAAAAGCAAAATAAAGGTCCTCAATACTTGGAATACCGACCCCACCACATCTTTTGGGCATGCATGTATTCTTCCATGATATAAGGTGTAGTTTCTTTTCTATAATATTAGGGCCATGAAACAGGAACTTAGAGCAGATTTTGTCTATCACTTTGCATATAGACTTAGGTATTATCGCACCTCTAATCCAGTATGCCAAAGTATTAGCAATAGAGAATCTTAAGAATTGTAATCTACCTGCAAAAGACAAAAAATGTACTTTCCAACCAGCAAGTAGAGTATTAAGTTTACTCAGTAGTGGAAGGAAGTTAGTAGAAGAAAGTCTTTTGGTGGAAATGGGAAGACCCAATGTTTTGATTAAAAAAAAATGAAAATTTGCTGAAAAAGGCTTTTAGGACTTGGCCTTTTAGCATTGAATTTTGGTTTGGATTTCTAAGATCTGGGTAGATCCTAAGGTTGAGATTCTAGGAGGATCCTAGAGTTTGAATTGATTTAGAAATTAGATTGATTTAGGGTCATGATTGATCCAAGTGACCTCATACAAAAATGAGGTCAACAGCCAAGTAGGTAAAAGAGCCATCAGCAATCATAAAACCGAGCAAAGAGGCAATCTCAGCAGCTAGCACAGTATTTTAAGAAAAAAGGATTGAGCATTTGCCATGGTTAATACTCAGTCCAGAAACATCTCCAAATTTGAGTAAGGAGGAATGGAGGAAGGAAGCATTTTGCAAGGAAGTAGATCCGAATACTAGCAAATCATCAGCATATAGCAATTGGTTAAAATTGCATTCCCCTTTAAAATTGCATTCCCCTTTGACAATACCACAAAAATTATTCTCATCCAGAGCACATGAGAAGGCATTCATTACGATAGTAAAAAGAAGCGGGGAGAGAGGGCATCCCTGCCTAAGCCCTGTAGATGAGCTAAAAAATTCCTCCAATGAGCCATTAATGCAAACTGAGAAATTAACATCATTAATGCAAGCTTTGACCCAATCCACAAATTGTTCAGGAAAACCTTTTAAGAGCATACGGGCTATTAGAAAATCTCTTGATACAATATCAAATGCTTTCCGGATATCAATTTTTGCACAGAAAATTTTTTCCCTAGCATTTGAGTTAAAGCATTTCAGCATTTCAGAGGCCAATATAATGTTGTCCGTGGATACTCTACCTTTAACAAATCCAGCTTGACTCTTGTGAATAATGAGAGGCATGAACTCTTTCATTCTATTCGCTAAATCTTAGCAATAATCTTATAAAAAGCATTGCATAAGGAAATAGGCCTATAGTCAGTAATGTTAGAAGCATGGGGACTTTTAGGAATCATAGCAATAGTAGTGGCCTTGGCCCTTTTCGGTAATGAACCCGTATGGAAGAAAAATTTAACAGCCCTACAAACAGTCAGCTCAATGAGTGGCCAGGACTTCTTATAGATTTCAAAATTGAAACCATCCGGTCCAGGAGAAGCATTAGAAGAGCCATCAAAAACAGCTTGTTTTATCTCAGCATCAGAGATGGGGGCAATGAGAGTGCTAGAAAGGTAAGCAGGTATGATATTCCCAATAGGAAGGAGAGAGGCATTGTGATTAGAGGGTGCAGGAGAATTGAAAAGCTTGTGAAAATGATTGATAGCAGCATAGGCAATCCCCTCATGTGTATTGAAGTTGCCCTCCTCCGTAGTAAATTCCTTAAGATAAGAAGAATTATTCCTTGTCTTGATTCTTGCATAAAGAAACCCCAAGTCATCTTCCCCATTAGAGAGCCAATTTGCTTTAGCTCTTTGACTAATCCAAGAATACTTAGCCCCATGAAGACTTGCTAAATAGGAATTAGTGGATTTAAGAGAGGCATTAAGAGATGGGTTCAAAGGATCCAACTGAATTTGGGTGTAAAGATTCTTCTGCACCTCTTTCACATTAGAAATCTGACTATCTAAAAAATTTGCACTGGCCCATACTTTATTTTTGCAAAGCACTTTAAGTCTGGTCAGCTTGGAGTAGATGTCAGCAATAGGATCTCCCTTACAAGGAGCAGCGAACGCATAAATAACACCATCCCAACAGCAGACATATTAAACCAGTAATTCTTAAATTGAAATCTGCAATTCCTAGTACCCTCCAAGATAGAGTTAAGAACCAGGGGAGAGTGATCCGAGCATAGAGGAGGTTCAATCTTGTAAAAGGAATTAGGGAAATTATGTAACCAATGGCTATTCACGAGAATTCTATCCAACTTTATGTGAATAGGGTTGTCCATACGTTGGTTAAACCATGTAAAATGAAGCCCAGTAGAGGCAAGATCAATAGTACCCGAGCTAAAGATAAAAGAATTAAGCTCATTAAGTCTGGAAATTTGAGGAGCACGGCCTCCCACTTTCTCAAATTCAGCCCTGTAACAATTGAAATCTCCAAGTATAATCCAAGGCTCAGTAATAGTATCAGCTAAACTGAGCAGTTGGTTCCAAAGAGGAACCCGATCCGAAGGTGTATTCCCCGCATAAACAACAAACATCAAAATATGATTAGTAGAAGAGTAATTAAGGGTGCCATGAATAAGTTGAGACGAAGTGAAGCTGGGAAAGAAAGAAATGGACGAAGAGTTCCATTTTAATCATATCCTCCCACTACAGGAAAATCACTTATTACCGGCGGAATTTTCCGGCGGCTTACAGGCGGTCAGTTTTCCGGCGAATTTCCGGCGGTTCTTGACGGCTTATTTCCAAGAAAATATTCCGGCGGCTTTCCGACGGCTAATTTCCCCGCAAAATTTTGCGACGGCTAATTTCCCGTAAAATTATCCCGCGGAATTTTCCGGCGGATTTTCGACGGATTACCGACGGCTAATTTCCCCGCAAAATTTTGCGACGGCTAATTTCCCGCGGAATTTCCTGGCGGCTTTCCGACGGATTACCAATTGGTTGAGCGCGTCTTCTTGATGCTGGTACCTTTAGCTTCTTTGGCTTGTTGAATTTTAGGGGCTGAGGATTATTCAGGAGAGGCTTCTATACTTGTGGGATCATCAGGTGGCTCTTCACAAAGAAGAGCAGCAAATTTGTTAGGAGATTGAAGGTTTGATTTATGATTAAGGCAAAGACCAGAAAAAACAGATAACCCTTTAGAAGAATAAGTAGAAGCAGTCTCATGAACAATGTGTTCATGAACAGAGGTAGAGTGGACTTTACCAGAAGAAGCTGAGGTAACCACATTGACTGTGTGATTATGGCTAGGAGATGTAGGTATGGATGAAGTAGAGGGGTCTTCCTGGATCGAATTGAGATTGGGAATAGACGGTATAATGGTGGTAAGAGGTATCTCAGGATTAGAAGGATGGTTATTAGTGGGTGGGGGAATGGAGGGAGATGTAGGCAAAGTTAAGGCAGTGGAAAGGTGGTTATGTGAATTGGTAGAGGTGTCAGTGGCTTTTGGGGGTAAAATAGGTAACGTAGGAGCTC